AAACTTAATCCTTAATTATTTTCCTGGTCTTTTGTAAACTCATTAATTAGTCAAAACTCCCATTATACTTTTCTATTTCCTTTACTATCTGAAATATAGAATTGGTAGTGAAATGTGAATGTTAAGAAATAAAAAGAGTAGCATATATCCAGGGATAAAGTTCTGAAGGTGAAATGGGACAGAAAAAAAAGATGAAAGGAAATGAAAACCACAGGAAGTGATGAGTGCTATTACTTTGTGTGGACTGAGATTGATTTTACAAATCAAAATGTGTATGAATTGTTGTAAGCCAGGACATTAAGACAGCAACTACACACCTCTGGCTTCTCAAGGTGGAAAGAGGATCATCAGCATCAGCACCAGCTGCCTAAGGCCTTGAAATAGAGCTTAGACATTCCTTAACCTTTCAAACTTCCTGACCAATTTTGGTACCAAATTCCCCTCTCAAAGCACTCTCAATCAGCTTGGTTCAACAGTTCATTCCAATGGCCACTTAGAACTCACAGACTGTACTCACGATTATAGACTTTATTAGTGGAGCTGACAGATTACAACTGCAGGTCAGAAGTGTTCAATATACAATTCTTTCATCTGGACAGCCTTTTCTCCCTTGTGCCTACAGGCAGGCCTCTCTCTGATCCTTAGACTCTCAGCCACATGACCCATGGGCCTCTGTCCTGCACTGCTACACAGGTCTTTTAGTGTTGCCAGAAATGTGCAAAGGTTAACCCATTCTGTTATAATCCTTAGCTTCGAAGGTGCTTGGTTCTAGCTTTGTGGGTCAGTAAATCTCGTTCCTATAATTAAGTGCCAGGATATTTCTTGGTCCATAGGAGTACCTCCTGCTTAAAAGAACTCAGAATTTTATTCCCTCCATGGTCTGGGAGGCTCACCACTCTACTCCTTGTTCTGGCTTTGCTGCTGTTACTCCTCTTCTGCTCCTTTTGTGTCATGGCTTTCTGTCCTTGGGTGGAGGAGATTCAATGCACAGGGATCTCAGGGTCCAAAGGTCAAGTTCAATTCCTGACTCTTCTTCCTTGGTGACAGTAAGATTCTCACTGCTGCTTTTGAAATGGCTCACTTAAAACCCAATGGGATGACACACTTAACACCCCCCTCTTTCGAGTTTCAATTTTTAGAAATCATTTTATTGGGGGCTCTTACAACTCTTAACATTCCATACATCAATTGTATCAAGCATATCTGTACATCTTATGTTGCCATCATTCTTTTCTAGAGATTTACATTCTATTGAGCCCTTGGTATCAGCTCTCCCTCCCCCTCCACACCCTCGTGACACCTTCATAAATGATAAATTATTATTATTTTCATATCTCACACCAATGACTGTCTCCCTTCCCCCATAGTTTCTGTTGTTTGTCTCTCTGGAGGGTGTGAGGGTGATTATGTGTCAGTCATTGCGATCAGTTCTCCTTCCTCCTCTCCATTCCCCTACCCTTCTGGTATCGCTATTCCCACTCCTGCTACTGGATTCCATGTGTTGTGAGCTCTTCTCTCTTATCTGTGCCTGGGTATATGCTCCAGACTAATGGGCAGTGAAAGGCAGTACTGGGGTTATCATAGTGGAGGGTGAGGACGTCTCAAGGAGCCAGAGGACTATTGAGTTTCATCGGTGCTTTACTGTACCCTAGTTGACTCATCCCTTCCCTGTGGCCCCTGTTAGGGGATGTCCCATTGTACAGATGGGATTTGGATCTCTGCCCTGACACCCCTCATTCTCAACAATATGGTTTTTATTTGCTTGTTTGTTTGTTATGGATCTTCTGATACCTGTTACCCAGTCCTGATGATACCTCATAAATGCTTAGGCTGGTGTGCTTCTTCCATGTGGCCTGTTGCTTCTCTGCTAGATGGTCACTTGTTTAACGTCAAGCCTTAACTCTTACAGCTCTTACAGAAATGCATATATCAATTGTATCAAGCACATTTGTACATATGCTGTAATCATCCTTTTCAAAACATTTTCTTTCTATTTGAGCCCTTGGTATCAACTCCTCTTTTTTCCCTCCCTCCTCCACCCTCCTGCCCTGGTGAACCCTTGATAAATATAAATTATTATTACTTTTATATCTTACACCATAAGCTGCCTCGCGTCACCCATGTTTCTGTTGTTCATCCCTCTGGGGTAGGGGGTTATATATACAGTGATCATTGTGATCAGTACCTCCTTTCTTCCCCCACCTTACCCTTACCCTCATGGTATCACTTCTCCCAGTATTGTTCTTGAGGGGTTTATCTGTCCTGGATTCCAGGTGTTGAGAGTTGTTTTTGTTTTTTTAATCATTTTTGGGGGGACTCATACACAACCCATATAATTTTTTATTCATTTTGGGGGGACTCTTATCACAACCCATATATACATCCATCGTGTCAAGCATATTTGTACAGTTCTTGCCATCATCATTCTCAAAACATTTGCTTTCTGCTTGAGCCCATGGTATGAGCCCCTCATTTTTCCCCTCCCTCCCCTACTGTCCCTCCCTCATGAAACTTTGATATTTGTAAATTATTATTAATTTTTCACGGTCTTACACTGACCAATGTCTCCCTTCACCCACTTTTCAGTTGTTCGTCCCCAGGAAGGGAGTTATAGTTCGATCATTGTGATTGGTTTCCCTTTTCTTCACCACCTTCCCCTTTCCTTCCTGGTATTGCTACTCTTATTATTGGTCCTGAGAGGTTTAACTGTCTTGGATTTCCTGTGTGTCCAGCTCTGATCTGTAGCAGTGTACATGCTCTGATCTAGTCGGATTTGTAAGGTAGAATTGGGGTCATGATGGGGGTGGGGGTGGTGAAGGAAGCATTAAAGAACTAGAGGAAAATTTGTATATTTCATCAGTGCTATACTATACCCTGAATGACTCATCTCCTCCCTGCAACCTCTCTGTAAGGTGATGTCCTGTTGCCTACAGATGGGCTTTGGGTCTCCACTGCACACTTCCCCTCATTCACAATGATATGATTTTTTGTTCTTTGATGCCTGATACCTGATCCTATTGACACCACCTCGTGATCACACAGACTGGTGTGCTTCTTCCATGTGGGTTTTGTTACTTCTCAGTTACTTAGCTGCTTGTTTATCTTCAAGCCTTTAAGACACTAGACTCTATATCTTTTGATAGCTGGGCACCTTGAACTTTCTTCACCACATTTATTTATGCACCCGCTTTGTTTTCGGCAATTGTGCTGGGAAGATGAGTGTCATGGAATGCCAGGTTAATACAACAAACTGTTCTTGCATTGAGGGAGCACTTGAGTGGAGGCCCAATGTCCATCCGCTACCTTAATACTAAACTTATAAACATATGCTCATAGATCTATTTCCCCATAATCATATATAAATAGATTTACATATGTCCATGCCTGTATTTAGACCTCTATAAATGCCCTTTGCCTCCTAGTTCTTTCCCCTATTTCCTTTTACTTTCCTCTTGTCCCACTATCATGCTCAACCTTCATTTGGGCTTCAGTAATTCCTCTGTGTCGAGAGTTCTTATCTGTACCAGCGTACATGCTCCATGTTCTGGTCTAGCTGGATTTATAGGGTAGAACTGGGGTCATGGTAATAGGGGAGGAAGCATTAAAGAGCTAAAGGAATGTTGTATGTTTCATCAGTGTTATACTGCACCTTGGTTGTTCTAGTTTCAAAATTTTACAATCACAAGTAACCCTATTAGCAATTACACATAACTGAATCAGATAACACGATCTACATCTTTTGCCACTTTCTCTTACCTAGACCTATTAGGGACAAAAGGTTGTTTGATGGGATTTACAAAGACTATGGCTGGTAGAGCCGTATCAAATTATTCACTGCATTACAATTGTCGAATGCAAACCTAATTTGCTCTGTAAAATGCCCCCTAAATCAATCTCTCTCTCTCTCTCTCTCT